CCCAAACGGCTAGCCCGTTCACCACCAACACCATGCCTCCTCCCACTCCTTTACAACTCCATGTCCTCCCTGTCCTCCACCCCTCGCACGCACCGTCTCGCAGCTGTCGGGCATCTCCGCGGCTCGGACGCGCTCCCCCCCGATGACCTCCTCCGCCCTTGGCGCGCGCGCATGCGGCCAGTGGATCCCTGCTGACGTGTGGGCCCGCCTTTCCGCCTTTGTCCGCGATGTGCCCGCGCAGCACGCGCTGCGCCTCGTCTGCCCCGCGGCCGCCGCAGGCGTCGCCGACGCCCGCGCCGCCTTCCTGCAAACCTTGCGCAAAACCTTCCGCCTCCGCGCGTACAGCCTCCCCGACTCCCTCGCCGACCGCGTTCTCATGGTACACCCCATGGCTGGCGGCGGCGAGGGCCTCGTCCTGTTCGTCGACGAGACCGACATCGGCTCCGGCGTGGAGATCGCATGGCTGCAGAGCGGCTCGCTCAAGTCCATCGCGCTCGGCTTGGAGGCTGTGCCGGCCAGCGCCGCCACCAACATTCGCTTTGCCCCGGATGGTCGCAGCGTCGCTATGCTGGTCACCCTGGCCCATGGAACTATGGTCGAAGAGAACACCGACCCGTTGAAGAGGCTGCGCGGGTGGCCAGTTGTGGAGGACTGCATTGAGTATACCCCATGCGAGGACTGCACAGTTCAGGTAGTCGATTTTCTGTACCCCGAGCGCGGCCGCTCCCGCGACCTGGTGTTGCACACCTTTTCACATGTCTTCGTCCCGGAATATGGCTTCGATATGGTGTGGCGAGGGAGTGCGGGGAAGTCGGACCGGCAGGAACTCGCTTTTGCGGCTATGCTACACTCGGACGACGGCGCGGCTACGTATCTTGTCAGATGGAAGACATTCCGCAACCCTCGTACCTCCAACTTCATTTTCATGGCTTGTATTGATGGCGCCTGCAAGGAAATGTTGTGGGACAAGCGCAATGCTATGCTTCGATCTCCACACACTATTTGCACCTCGAGGATTGAGCTAGCGAAGGATGCTCGGCATATCTTCTTTGACACCATGTCCAAGTTTGGCATTCTGCGCTTTGACCAGGTTGACAACCCTTCCGTCGCGAAAGTCACCAGAGCAGATCTAGATAATACTCCGATCTCACCGGTGCTCAGGGCCCCGCCGCTCCCCAAGATCGCGAGGGGTCGGCATGAAGCCTGTTGTCATCGCGATTCTCCATCAGGTACGCCCGTGCCCAAGATGCGCCCTTCGTTTGCTACCTACGGGGATCATCAACGCAGGGCGGCGAAAGTACTGAACAATGCAACGAGAATAGCCCGCATGTCGCCTGACGGTAGTCTGCTGTGTTCAGTTATCGACACCTTTCGCTCAAATGGTGAGCGCCGGGGGCTGAGGAGCACACGGCTGAAGCACGTCGAGATGAGATCAAGCCTCTGTGGTCGTCTACTATTCAGAAACGTTATTGTTCGTCAACCTGATCTGTGCTGCCAGAAACCAGATAGACTAGAGTTGGAGAAGTCTGGAGATATTGCCCATAACACGCTAAGTTTTTCTGATGATTCGTCGCTTTTAGTAGTCTGGGATGCTTTCCTGACATCGACAGTGTGTGAAGTGTACCATACGCTTCCTCTAGTGTTGGACTCCAGGACAGGCGGCACTATACAAGACTTTGAAGAGCTCTCCTCAGTGCGATACGAGGGCATGCAAATGTCATCGGACGGGCAGATTATTTATGGAACGCGAATGGCGGAAGACAGGATCGTCATGGATGCCGTCGACGTCTTGACGGGAAGAGTCCTCAAGACTGTCAATGTCACAGGTCAAGTACACCGACCACCCGCGTTTTCTGCACACTCTGTTTACCTGATGCCGAATCGGTACATCCATACGGTGGCGCGAGGACAGCTGGAGGTTTTATGGGAATCCTCGAGGGGATCGGCCGGGTGTGGATGGAGGCATGTTGAGGTTGCAGAGCTGAGTGATACAGACCAGTTCTGAGGTGGAGTCCAGAGGCTTGAGCAGGGTTTTTTTCGCCTGCAACTAGGGCCAGCAACTAGGGCTCACCATGCATCAACAACTCACCCCAATTTTTGAAGGGGGAGTCGCCAAGCCTTATTGAAGCAGGCAACAGCAATTATTTCGCAATCCCGAGACAAACTCTGTCGTAGCTAGTGCACATGTTCGAACGTCACAACAATATTACTAACTTGCTGCTCCAATATACAGCACGACACCTCGCCAACCTAGAGGTATATTTAAACTCAACGCGGAACGCATACTGAAGTACAGCCATTAAAGCGGTCGTCACACCCCCCATATTCGCGTAGACTGCGAAGTCTATAAACACTGGCAATCATGGACATCTAGGCATCACCCCAACATAGTTTTACTTGCGAACAAAAATGCAGAATGGATGTGCCTACTTGTCCAACGCAGAGAGGAAAGTGGGTGCCCTTTGCGGTAAATCTTTCTCCGACTGTAGCACCTTGTCAATAATTCCGTAGTCAGCAGCTTCAGCCGGGCTGAAATACTTCGTCCTCGTCGCGTCCTTCTCGACTTGTTCTAATGGTTGCCCCGATCGCTCCGCAATGATCCCAAACGCCTGCTTGCGATTGTACAGCACCTCCTTCGCCTTGATAGCAATATCGCTTGCCTGTCCCTGCGCCGATCCTCTCGGCTGATGCAGCATAATCGTCGCATTCGGTAGCGCCGCTCTATGCGTCTTCTCGCCACTGGCGAGCAGCATAGCCGCCATACCGAAGGCTTGTCCCACACAAATCGTATGCACGGGCATCTTGACGTAATTCATGGTATCGGCGACGGCAAACGCCTCGGTCTCAAAGCCGACATTCTGCCCGTCTGGGCTAGAAGTTCCCGTAGAGTTGATGTACATATAAACCGGCTTGGATGCGTCCTCATACTGGAGGTACAGAAACTCGGCGATAATGAGCTCCGTGACGGCGGGTACCAAACTCATGCCGAGGTAGACGATGCGGTTGTGCAGCAGGAGCGACGGAAGGTCTGGCGGGGGGCCGGCGCGGGCGCCGTCGTACATGGTGCCGCCACCCGCAGACTGCATAGCTCTCGGTGTTGCGCGGCGAGACGTAGAGGCGGGCCGACGGGAAGGCGCGCGTCTGGAAGAGAGGCCCGCGCCATGCAGCTGAGGGCGAACCGCGGCGCCCGCGAAGGAGGAGACAAAGGCGGGCATCTTCTTCGGCTTTGGAGACATACCGTGAGGTGGTGATGGGGGATGGGGAGGGGAGGGGGTGGAGGTTGATACTGCCGCGGGGTACGGTAAGAAGGAATGGACAATGATGGTGGCGTGGAAGCGCCGATGTTTGGATTAGAGTTGATCTCGGCACGAAAGTCGACGCCCAGTCGAGACGTTTGGAGTTGTGCCTCTCCTGCCAGCAGGTTTGGCCAGGATCCGCCCAGGCCATTGTAACAGGTGTGCAAGGTGTGTGTATTTTATTGGGTGCCGGCGAGGGTGGTCAAAATTTAGCATACCGATCAACTCTGGTGCGTTCTGGTCGACACCTGAGTTCGAGTCAGGGGCACTGCATCGGCATCGTTCGAACCTCTTTGTCTCTGCGAATGGACCCTTTCATCAAAAGGGAACTCTACATGTACAGGACACAGTAGCACCTTTGATATTTGCGCTTGGGCTAGCTTTGCTTCCAAGCTCTTTCTGTATGTATCACAAGAGCTTCCACCTGGCACGCCAATTAGACATTCACACACGGCTTTCGCGGTTGTCAGGGTTTATATTGCTGTTCATCTTCGCCTCTTGTGCGATGTATTGCACACACCTTAGCTTCATTCGCACAATGAAACAGCCAAAAAAAGACACGGAGGTATGTTACACTATGGGGCGAGAGCGCCGGTCTTTCCGCCCTTCTTTGAAGAATACAAGCAAGAAACGGTAAAACTGAACTATTAAGGTACGAAGTCACTATAACTTGTCGGCATATGTTCATATCGTTGATGCAACGTTTTAACGATATCATGCCAAAAGCATTTTCAAGGCTTTCATATTGTGCTGTGTATCAAGATGTTGGATATCGCTACTACATATATTGTGCACATCCCTCTCCACCCGTCTTCTGGCCAGGGGGCACTCCCTTTTATCACACTAGAAGCTTTTATCACAATAGAAGCTTCTGTTTAACTCGAGTGCGATGGTGAGTAGGCGGTATGCATGAGGGAGTGTGATCGTGGTCGATTATTTTCAGCCATGTGTTTAGCTACAATTCGGTGCTTCTTAGGACATCACCAAATGGGAAGAGAACTTCGCAAAACTTATATAGTTATACTAAGGTTTTCCGTAAAGTCACGAAAACGCGTGTTTTGGCGGCGACTTTGCTCGGATTTTCTGAACGCAAAATTTTCAAACAACGCAACGCGTTTGGCAAAACTCACAGCATACCGAAAACTGGGGGCATGTGAGTTTTCCACGAGTTTCACAACCGCTTGATCACAGCAGTGCCGGATCGACCCGTCTGGAAGGAAAACGAAGTCGGTCTTCCGTTCTTTTCATCAGCACACACGAGTCTCCGACTGCACGGGTCGTATAGATATGCGTCATGGACGCCTCTATCGCTTCATCTGCGCAGAGTCCATCCATGGATCAAAGCGCGACAGGATCTGCCACAGATGCCGCCGAAGCAACCGCGAAAGATAGAAAGTAGAAGCTTCTAAAAAGCGGTCCTCTCCAAACGGCCCCCCTCAGCCTGTCAAGAAGACGAAACACATCGCCCTTTCGACTGAGAACCTTTCTATCCTTCAGCGAGTATTCGCGCAGGTGCACGTGATCCGTCGGGCGGCACAACGATGTAGCAGACTTGCGTTTGTTGCGGGCAGGTACACGTACCTTGCTGGAGGTCAGCCGGCAAAACTCGTGGAATTTTTCACACTCGGGTTTACTTTACGTCCAGCGAGTTTGTGGGCAAATGGAAAAAAACAACGCGTTATAGCACGGACAACAGCACGAGTTTTTTCTCTGTACTGTTACGAGTCTACACACGACGGAAAGTGTTGTCAATTTGTGCCTGGGGGCAGGGCACAATGCAACTGAGCTGACGTGTACACGTGTACAAGTGCAGCAGTTTTCCACGGCCGCACTCTCTTGTATACCGCTGGGTGTCCAGACTCTGGACCCCAGAACGTCTTGGCAACTTCCTGCCCAGCGTCCGCGTCCTCCGCTCTCTGCTTTCCCAGTCATAACTTGCAGCCGCAGTTTTGCCACACTCTCACCTGTGGACGACGAGACAAAAGAAGGTTCCCCTACCAGGCGAACCAATCGAGCAGAGACACAAAAGCCCTTTCGCCCGAAACTCAATTGCAAGACACAGCTTCAACACGACCTACAATGGAGAAGCACATTTTTTTCGCCGCGCCTCTTGTCTTACTTTTCCTTTCTTTATTGCACCCATGCCTAGCGGGTACTTATCAAAGTGTGGTCATCGGCGAGGTTTCTCAGCGCGACGCCGACCATCCCATCTTTGAGATCAACTTCCCCCCTCTCGGCGAGCGAACCGCAAAGGGAGATCCAGGTCAGAAGGCACCAGGCATGAAGACCATGCGCGTTGTCACCGCTCGCGGCCAGGCCATGCGATGCGTGTTACCCAAACCGGCAAAGGCAACTGCACCACCGCCACCTCTCAACGAAGAGACCGTTTTCGATGACATCGACGACTTGCTTGCTGAGTATGAGGGGAAATGCTTCATTCGACTCGATGGCTGGTGGACATATGAATTTTGCTACGGAGATAAGATTGTCCAGAAGCATAATATTCCGAAGGAGCGCGCACCTTACGATGGCGAAGTCGAGGACTCGTACGTGCTTGGAGCGTTTGACCGCGAGCTTGATTTGGAAAGGAGGAAGAACGTCAGTCTCGTGACCACGCACGATTCTGCTTTTACCCAGGCTTTCGTCAATGGAACTGTATGCGACACTACGGAAAAGCCTAGGCGTGTTCTTGTCAAGTATTTGTGCAGCGATGATGCTGTGCGTCTCTTGAACAACGCGAGGAAGTCCCGTCAACGCGATTTGAACATACTCAAGACTGTCCGTGAGGTCGAATCATGCGTCTACGAAGTCGAGTTTATGGGCTCGGCTATTTGCAAACACCCGAAGTACATAGAAAGGCTTGCCAACGCCGCAAGACCAATTCACTGTTCTATGGAAACGGATGAGAGGCCGTTTGAGGGACTATCATCATGGAGCTACAAGAAAGCAAGTCTCAATTTGTAGTCATCAGGGCAACTGACCTTACGTTTGGTGGACTAATGCTTATCTTTACATCTTGGCGTTCGTCTTCTTGCTCAACTGGTGCATAATAGCCCCAAGAATCTTCACTACTTTAGGCTTCGATAGCATCTTCCAGGACCGTTCGGATTCTGGGACCCCGTATTCCTCCCAAGAGTCGGCGAACTCCTGTCGCACAGAGAGCTTGGTGTCTGCTCTTCCATAAGTTTCTTTTTGCTTCGCCCACTGCTGTGCGGCGAGAAGTGCATTCTCATGCAAGTGGTCTTTTTGATCACCGTCGACGATTTTGTTTACAAGGCCCAGGCTGTACGCTTCACTTGCGTTTATCATTTTTCCGTTTGCAAGAATTTCTTCACCGCGAGCACGATTTGATATCGTCAAGAGTAGTAGCCGGCCCCAGTATCGTGGCACAGCCAACCCGATCGCAACCTCGTTGAGGCCCATCATTGTATTGCTCAATGCAATGCGATAGTCACAGCACAGCGACATGACAAAGCCACCCGCAGGCGTGGCGCCGCGCATCGCAGATATTGTGAACAGCGGCGTTTTGTACAAACGCGCGAGGAATGAGGTGCTCGTTGTCCAAAACTTCTTAAACCGCCTCTCCGTGGTTGACGGCACGTGTAATTCTGTGAGGTCATTTCCGGCGGAGAAAATAGAGCCGCGAGCGTTAGACGAAATCAAAAGTACCCGAGCAGTTTCTGGGTAAAGCTTGGTCTCCGCATAATTGAGCGCCTGCTGCAGTTCAGACCACAAAGCAGTGTTCAGGGCATTGACGGGAGGACGGTTGAGCTGGATGTGACAGACTCCGTCAAACGGAATTGAGAATCGAATAAGTTGGAAGTCTGGCTGAGAACAACTGATAGTTCCTCTCTGAGATACCATATTCGGATTGCTGTGTATTTTCAAAGAGTCTGGCACAACAGAGCGAAAGAACTCTGTTGGAAAGCTGCTGTGTTTTGCAATGCGGCTTTGTGGTTCTGGGCCGTGGATTACGTACGCGTCGGATGCAGCGAACTGCCACACGCCGTTTGTCAGGGCCAGTCAAGTCTTTGCAGGGCCGGCAGAACTGTTACGAGTAGTGCTGATATTTCATGTCTTGACTGAAGCAGTCTAGATAGTATGCTTTTGTACTGACATATTCTGGCAACATTTTGAAGCCACGGAGAATAGAGACCAAACCAAGATGCTGCATTTGTAAGTGCATGGCGGAATTTGAATATGCACTCAAAAATCATTTATAAAAGTGGTCACATGGAAGGAACCACAATGAAAAATGCGACTAATTCTATTTTTGAGATGCCTCTCTCAATGTCGGAGTGGAAGCTTTCAACCAGACATGAACAGAACCCGAGAGTCACAGGCCGGACTGATTAGAACAGGAATACACATCATGGCAGTTTTGTGCGCTGAGGTGTCAAGTGGAAACCCGCCGCAATGGACTCGGACTCATCCCACTGCACCTTGACAAATTGAAGAATTGCACCGAAATGGTAAAACTGCGAGAAATTCAATAGTGACACCCTTTCCTTCCTACCATGAAGAGCTGGGAATGGAAATGCGTGAGAATCCTCGACCTCGTGCGGACTGGCGTCGTCATGCCTTCGTCGCAAAGCAAATTCGCCAAATTCGCGAACTCCTTCAGGATGCATTCAGGGTACATGTCATCTCGAGACGAGATCAAGAGAAGGGGTAAGCGAAAGCTAATGCCTCCATCACTCAATAGGTTCTAATTACAGATTTGTCACACGGAAAGTGATGTATCTATAGGCAGTATAGATGCTTTTTGCCATAACAGCAACCTCATAGTGTGTCATTCCCCAAGGAATGTGCATCATGGTAGTCCTCATCGGATGGAATTGACCAAATAAATAACTCATCTATAAAAAACGGCCATTCACAAATGTTAAAATGTGGTCTTAAAAAATCGTTCGCTCCAGAGGATCATACGAATCATGAAGTTTTGCAGAGTCAGCATGTCGCACTTTTTCAAAGCCATAGCTTGATATGAAAGTTGCAAAATGTGTGCTTCGAAGGGGAGCTGAAAAGCAAATGGTTCTGGGGCTCTAACAGAGAAAAGGAGACCTATTAATAGAAGCTTAATGGCAGGTGTTGAGGCTCATCCCGAAGGGCATCTTTCGCATATGCAACAATACCTAAATCCTTGCGGTTCGAAAGGCCTGTGCCTCTATACCTCGTGTGAACTGCGTTCGGCGGACAGAGCTACAATGGACAGACGTGAACTTCGGAGATGACCTGCTCAAACGCGGACCTAGCTCCACAGAGGCCGTTACGACCGGCGCGAGGCAATGGAGGATAGTTGAATTTAAGAAAACTATTGAGGGTTTCCCGATGCGCTCGTATCAAGCGATGGCCGGCGGGATCTTCAAAACCGTGCACCGCTGGTGCCATGGGAGGCGTTAGAGAATACCACAGTTCGCAATCTGAATCTTTTGCAGGGGCTGTGGTGAAAAAAAAAGACGTCCCGACACAGGAGTAGAGATGGCAAGAGATTAAATCAGTGGGTAAACAAATGAGAATGAGAATGAGAACAAGGTAAACGAGAAGTTGGGTGTTGTGTCAGGAGCGGCAAGATTGTAGCAGAAATGCATTATGCATTGGCCGTTACTGGGGCATGATAGATCGCCAACTTACCTTGTCTTCAAGCTGTTTCATACCGCACGCACACAAGCCCAATGCAAGTAGAAGGATCGCAAGCCGGTCAGTAAGAGTGCAAAACAAACAGAAAGTGCTGTTCCCATAAGCGGTCTCCTTAAAAAAACAAATATGGAAACATACATCAACTTTGGCACGCGCATCGCCAATAGCCTTGCCAACTTTCCGAAAGCCATCCGTGGATTTGCGATTGACGGGGACTTGTACCATATCGTTGAGGACGTCCCAGCCGTCCAAAACCTCGCCGACGACAAGCCATTCCGCATCCCACTGGTCGCGCTTGTCCGCCGAGACCAAAAACTCAAAGCCGCCCTGCCTCCTCACGCTGACCAAGCCCGGGCGATCGTGCGCGAGGTCATTCGCCTCGACGACGGCCGGCGCCTCGACGGGGACGCTCTGTCGTGCGGGGAGCCCCGGGGTCTGGTTGAGGGGGTCGTTCTGCTTGACGCGGCCCAGCTCCACGGCACGGGCGGCCGGGTACACCTTGGGCGCGACGGAGTAGCGGTAGCCGACGGTGCGGCCGCGTTTGTCGGCGAGCGTGGCCGTGGCGAGGGCCTTGATGACATCGACGGTGGTCGGGGCCAGACGGCCATACAGGCCGAGCGTGATGCGGCCGCGCGGGGTGCCCGCGATGGAGATGTCGAAGAAGACGCGGTCGGTGACGGCCGGGACTGCGCGCGCGGGGAGCGGGAGCAGGAGCACAGCGAGGGAGAGGCGAAGGAGGTCGCGGCGCGGGAGCTGGCGGATGGAGAGGGCGCACAGGGGGGGCCGCAGGCGGAGATGTCGCCTCGGGAGCGCGGGGGGGAGCGGGCGGGGGCGCGCGTGAGGGAGGGAAGGGGCGGGAAGGAAGGCGGGAAGCATGATGCGGACCGGGGTGAGGGCGGGGGGAGGAGGTTGGGGGAGATTGCAAGGGGTGTTACCGATACGTGGATGCTAGCTGTCGTTCTGACACTGGAGGCATTTAGAGTGGGTCGCAATCCTTCCCGCGTCACGTGGAACTCCCCCTGATTCCCTGTGGCTAATCCTCTCTGTCCTTCACGATCCACCCCCGCCCCCCCTCCCCTACCTTTACCAAACCCGGTCCATCTCTGCTCCTGCCGGCACAGCGCCCCCCCTCTCCCCGCACCAAACCTGCTCCCCTCCCCTCCCCTCCCGATGATGCCGCCCCCGCCCCCCCGCGCCGCCCCGC